TGGAGCGCCTTTTGTTGATTTTTCCTATAATAATATGAGAATCTCAACTAGAATGAGCTGACTCGTAAACTAGTAAAGGTCAGGCTAGCACCGATACTGGGTATTTTCACTTATCACTCTGATTTTGACTGATGTTAACTAGCCTCATAGATTGTAATGATTTTAAAATGGGAATAAAGGCAAAGCCACATTATTAGAAACAACTCTTTAAAAACTGTAACTTGGAAATGAAGGCTAGTCTCACACTCAGTTTTAAGATTTTTTTGTTGTTGTTAATTTAATGATTATTTGAATCCTTCAATGATCACAAAGCCAAGCACAGTAGTAGGTACTCACTGAACTTAGCAGAAGAAGACAGAATAAAGAGAGTTTAGAATTAACTATTTGTGGGGCTGGGGATGTGGCTCAAGCGATAGCACGCTCGCCTGGCATTCGTGCAGCCCGGGTTCGATCCTCAGCAACACATGCAAATAAAGATGTTGTGTCCACCGAAAACCAAAAAATAAATATTAAGAAATTCTCTCTCTCTCTCTCTCTCTCTCTCTCTAAAAAAAAAGAAAAAGAATTCACTATTTGTTATTTCTAAAAGATGTGTATAAACTTTACACATGTGCAAGAAAGATACCAGGTAACTCAGCTGATTATTGAACATTGGTTGGAAGGGGCAGTTGAAAAATACGATTTTTCATTTAGTAAAAAATCTTCTAAGATTCCAAAATCTTGATCTAGTAGCATCAGGAGTGACATAGTTCAGGGTCAAATCCTCATTTTGCAGGCCCAGATCTTCTTCAGTCAGCATCCAAAGTGTAGATCAGGCTTGTTTGACAAAACTTATCATTAATAAGTTTAGAGAGCAATAGAAATCAGGATGTCAATTTATTAGTGTTCAGGTAGAATATAGTTTCTGTGATGACCAGTATTTTAGCATCAGTCATTCAATACTTTCCTTCTCTGTTGTCATATGACTTCATTTACTGAGCACCTGCCACATAACCTGCTATGTATTAGTGTAGTTGTCTTCAAGAAAGGAATAATTTCTAAGAAATATATAGAGAATCAATATACACAACCTTTTATATACTCTTTCCTAAAATTTGATCAGCCTATTGCCTCTGTAGTCAAACATTTTCTTACCTCCTCTTCCAAAATTGTTCTTTTTCCACTATGTAAAAGAGAGAGAGATCTTGTCTTGCTTGCCAGTGACTTTGTAAGTGTATCCCAGTGATAGTTCAGGCAATTGGTTACTTCCTATTTGGTGACAATAAACATTGACTATCCTATATATTTGTACTTAACATCATAATTGTACTACTTTAACCATTTGAGCCTTGGCTTTCTTATCTGTAAAATAAGATTTGTAATAGTTATTATCATATTTAAGAAAGTAGTATGTAAATTAACTGTTATAATGCTTGACCAAGTATTCATATCAATATAAGGGAGTTGTAGTGTTATTTCTGTTGTTATTACATATTAGTGGTTCTATCCATTTAGTATTTCAAAATACATAAATCTTTCTGACTCTAGTATGGAATATGGTAAGGGAATAATAGTTCAGTACCAACTTTGTCTCTTTTACGAGGTATCACTGTCCTTTTCAGTACTTACTTTAGAAATGAAAATGCTCATTCTCAACACTAGTAGACGTGGATGGCTAATGAAGTTAACATAGTTGAACCAGAATCTGATGATGATGGAAGTATGTTCCCTTGATGAGTAGTGCCATCTTTGGTGAAATTTGGATTGGTTATTTGACAGGAATTCTAAAGAGAACAGAAGCTTCAGAATTTATTCTGAATTTTATTTCAGGGACATTTATAAGTTTGTTTAAATGTTTGACAGTTATCAAAAAGATATGAGATCTTCTGAGCAGTGAGTGCTTTAGGCTGCCTTGCAGGGTTACTGGCTGCTAGATCTTGTGTGCATTTGCAGAGAGACCAGAAAGCTGCAGCAGAAAGAAGGTGAAGGGGTTCCCCAGATGTGAATTATGACTCCGCTCTCTATCTATCTCTATCAGCCCTCCCAACCCATTTAATAGTTTTCTTTGTTTTGTAAGCTTCTAGATAGATTTCTTTTTTGAGAGAGAGAGAGAGAGAAAGATAATTTTTTAATATTTATTTTTTTCAGTTTTTGGTGGACACAATATCTTTATCTTATTTGTATGTGATGCTGAGGATAGAACCCAGCACCCCGCGCATGCCAGGCGAGCGCGTTACCACTTGAGCCACATCCCCAGCCCTAGATAGATTTTTTAAAAGTTAGTTTGGTATCTTTGCATTTACTTCATACTTTATACTGGAAGTTTGGTAAAGGAGATTTTTTTATTTGTAAAGCTGAGGTTTTAATTTCTTTTTTTCTTGGCATTGAAAATAAATAAAATACTAACAACAGTTAATATTTATTGCATGTCTGCATGTAATGTTAACTGTAGGAATTTTATAGATATTCTTCCTCAGCATGTGGAATTCCTATTCCTAATTTGTTGAGAAACTTTTAAAAAAAATCAGGAAAAGATATTGGAATTTGGAAATGTTTTTCCTGTCTATGCTGAGATGATATCGAATTTAATATAGTCAATTATGTTGGTTGGTAGTTGATGATTAGTCCAACCTTATATTTTGAGGAAAGTTCTCATTTGGTTGTGATGTGTAATTCTTTAGATATATTAAGGGATTTGATTTGCTAAAATCTTGAGATTTTTTTGCATCTATGATTATGAATAAAGTTGGTTGCTCATTTTCTTTTCTTGTAATGGCTTTGGGTTTTTTTCCAGTTGAAAAGCTCTCCTATATTTTGTTTTTCTGGAAGAGTTTGTGTAGAATTAGTATGCTTTCTTCCTTAAGGGAGTTATAGAATTCATCAATGAAGAGTTCTGGGCCTGAAGTTGTCTTTGTGGAAAGATATTTACTGCAAATCTAAATTCATGTGGGCTATCTGTATCTTATGGAATGAGTATGGTAGTCTGAATCTATTGAGCATTGAGTCCATTTCATCTATGTTTTCAAAAGTATGGACATGAAGTTCTTCACAATATTTCCTTTTTTCCCTTAGTAGAATTGGAGCTGACATTATGCCTTTCATTCCTCACCATTGATAATTCATACCACCTATTTTTATGATCAGTATGGCTAAAAATTTATCAATTATAGTAATCTTCTCAAGACATTCAATATTTAGTTTCTTTATTTTTCTCTATTATTTTTCTTTTATCTTTCATTGATTTCCACTGATCTTTTCTGGGGTTTTCAGTTGTTGTTTTGATTTGGTTTTTTTTTTTGTGTGTGTGTGTGTGTTTTAAATTTTCAAAGTAGAAATCAGAGTCATTAGTGTAAGACCTTTCTTCTTTTCTAATGTAGGTTATTAGTGCTGTTTCTATATGTACTATGTTTTTGAACTATTAACAGTTTTTGATATGTTGACACGGGATTATTTATAATTGTCCTACTTGGATTTTAAATATTTGGTGTTTTTCATATAGTTATTACCAACTTCTAATTTAAATCCATTATATTCAAAGAACATAATTCATACTACTTGAATCTTTTAAAATTCATTGAGATTCCTAATATGATTCAGAATATGGACTATCTTGCTAACTGTTATATGTGTACATTAAAGAAAAATGTGTGTTCTGTTTTTGTTCTATTGATACCAGTTAGGTCAACTTGATTGAAAATGTGATTCAAATCTATTTTATTGCTTTTTTCCTCAGCATATTCTATCAAACATAAGATGGGTATGAAAATCAATAATAATTATTTGCCTTTCTCCTTGTATTTCTGTCAATTTTGTTTCACAGATTTTCAAACTTTCTCATTTTGTGTGTAAACATTTGAATTGTGTCCTCTAGATAAATTAACCCCTTTTATCATTGTGAAATTATCATTTTTACCTTTGATAATTATCTTTGCTCTAAAATCTACTTTTCTGACATTAATATAGCCATTCTAGCTTTTCTTTTGACATGTGTTACATGATATATATTTTTTCATCCTTTTAATTTTAATCTATTTGTGTCCTTTTATTTAAAACTGTTAGCAATTTAAACAAAATTAATGTGGGTATTTTTTCATTCAGTAGACCATCTGTATCTTTTATTGTGTATCTGGTTGATTTAATTGATTGATTATTGATATGATTATGTTTGAGTCTTTTATCTTGCTGTTATGTGTGTGCATTTACACACACAAACACACACACAGACACACACACACACACACTTTTTTTTTTTGGTCCCATCTGTTCATTGTTCCCATTTTCCAATTTCTGCCTTATTTTGGCTTAATAGACTGTTTTACAGATATTCATTCTGTTGGTATATTAGGCATAACTCTTGTTTAATTATTTTAGTAGTAAAATAGCCAAGCATATTAACCAAATCTTACCACCCAGTCCCAGCAGATCATCATAATATAATTTATATTATAATAAGAATATTATAATATATTTGCTAACATTTTGAACTCTTTGTGCTAGGCATTCTGCAAAGAGATTTATACAGATTATATAATTTAGTTTTCACAATTGCCTTATCAGTAAGTACTGTTTTTAACCTGATTTATAGTTAAAGAAATGATAATAAAAGTTAATCAGCTTTCCTATGTTCTTCCGTGATGTGGTGGGATTTGCCTGCACAGGGCATTCATGCTTCCTTTCTGTTCTGTTCACCTGCCTAATGCCTCCTTATTTCCAAGTGGGTTCATCTTTTCATCTGTAACTTTGAGCTCTGTTTTCTCTCTTGACAATGGGGTAGCAGTGAATTATTTAAACAAAGTAACCCATGCTTATCTTTTAAGTCTAATATGTTTTAAGTCTGATTTAGCAATAGCATCCCTGGTTAAGATTGAAAATATGTGGGAAATGACGTAGATTCTGGTAGGCTGATGGGAGAGGGGAGTAGAGAAGATTGCTGTAGGGACAGATTAGGCAGGGTTTATGAATTCTTTGCACTCTGAAAGTGAACTTCTGTTGGTCTCTTCATCTGTGTTTCCGTTATTCAGTGCCTTGCTACGTGGGAGTCATTCCTTACATCACAGACTGACCTCCACTTGGAAGAAGACTCTGAAGATAAACTTTAATCCCATAAGATCTTCTATTTGGTCTTTGGGAGACAGCATCTATCAACCAAAGTTATTCTGTAAAGATTGGCTGTGCCCTGTATAAAGTGGATGAAAATGTTTCACACTGTCTGGAAAACCGACTGGAAAACTCAGGTATTCCAGGTCATTGACATGAATTTGGATGTATATATAGAGAAATCTATCTATATAGATATATAGATATATCTATATATCTATATTAAGAGAGATAGGTTTAGCTTAATTTTAATTATGTTCTTAAATTTATGTGCCAATAATTGCATATAGAGATTTTTTTCTTAACTATTTGATGTGGAATATTTCATTTTAAATATGTTGTAAAGACTGAGTTTTAATAAAAGGTTTAATATGAAATGACTGGCTGTGGTGTATTCTTTTTCAATGGATAGCTCAAGACTCTGAAACATATTCTAATATGAATTCAGCTATGTTAACAGGTATGCTGTGCATTCATTTTAATTATAATTTTCTCTCAAATACTATTTACTTTTATATTAAGAATTTGAAGTAAATATCAAAAATTACTTAACATGAAAAATTAATAATAGCTCTTAAAATAATTGATTTGTTACAAGCTAACCAGTTTTTTCCTACACTTAAAAGATTAGTTTTCAAAAAGTAAATTTCAATTATTATTTGAGGTCTCAGTTAGAAATCTTGATGTAGTCTTATTCCTACCTGTAAATATATTCTATTTCTTTTGCCATATTTTACATACTCTTCACAACTCATATGTAGCCTTGACTTTTTAAGGTATACAGGGTTTATCAGGATTATTTTCCTATTCATTTAAGTGTCTCCCCTTTGCAAGGTGTTGTTGTAGGTGCTTGTGGTTCAGAGTGATGGAAAAGAACCACTTGCTCTCAAGGCTTAGATTCTGTTATATTGAATGTATAGAGTGATTTCATGTTAACTTTGTGGGTGTGAATTTTCTTATACCTGCAAGTGAAATTTCTGGGTCATGTCATATCTAAATGTAACCATTTCAGAAGCTGCCAGACTGTTTTCCAAATTGGCTGCACCGTTTACATCCCCATGCCCCCAGCAGTGTATGAGAATTTCAGTTTCTTCACAACATCACTGATACTTGTTAATATCTGACTTCTTTTGACTGTAGCCATCCTAATGGCATGAAGTGGTACCTCATTGTTGTTTTGATTTGCATTTTCATAATATATTTTTCATGTGTTTATTTGCCATATGTAAATATTCTTTGGAAAAAATGTCCATTCAAATATTTTTCCACTTTGAAAATTAGGTTGTCTTTTACTGTTGAGTTGTAAGTCTTTTTTATATATTCTAGATTCAAATCCCTATCAGAGTGTGATTTTTTTTTTCATTTTCTTGATTATACCCTTTAATCTAAAGGAGCTTTTAATTTTGATGAAATCCAATGTAACTATTTTTTGTTTTGTTGCTTCTACTTTTTGAATCCATTGCCAAGCCTATAGTTACACAGATATACTCCTATGTTTCCTCCTGAGTTTTAACTCTTAGATTTATAGGTTTGGTCCATTTTGTGTTAACTTTTGTATATGGTATGAGGAAAGGTGCCAGTTTCATTCCTTACCTGTGGTATGCCTTTGTTTGTTGAGAGACATTGTCTTAAGAGTTTTCACACTGAGTTAGTTCCATGTCTACAGGTCTTGTCTCTCTGTCCTGCTACTTACTAGTGGAATTCCTGGCATAGCTTTCCTGATCTTGTTCTGATGTGTATTGTGTGTGGTTGTTAGTAATCTGTAAGTGTGGTTACTGAATATCTCATCATAAACAGCTTTTTACTTAAAAGACTTTTACTTAAAAGTCCACCCTAATGTTTACATGTACTTTTCATTCAACATTTGAGGAAATAAATACTTCCCAAAACACAAGCATCTTGCTGTTCAGTTACTTTTTCTACAAGTGTATAGCCTTACCAAAAAAAAAAAAAGATGAATTCAATGATGTTAAAAGGGACATTCCAATAGCTGATATTTGGACACCATGATAGACTACTTAGTACATTTTGATAGTTATTGGCTGTGAAAAGATGAGTACTTGTGTAACTGTTTGGGGCCACACTTCCTAAGGATTCTACTGCCTCCTTTAATTCCAGTTACCTGGAGGGTAAATAACAACATTATTACCTTAACTGATTTTCAAACCAGAGCTTTGATGATTAATTTCTTAGTTGTTTGACTTGAAATCCAAGAGAGAAGAAACATTTTCTATATCTCTGGGAAGTGAGATTGTGCTTGCATGGAAGACTTCACCAGAGAGCATGCCTTCCATGAACCATGGAGCTACAGGCCTAGCCTGGGCATCTGACTTAACTCAACTGGTTCACAGATGCCGAAGTTCCTGTTCAAACTTAAAATTTTCTTTCTTTCTCTTTCTTTTTTTTTTTAAGAGAGAGAGAATTTTTTAATCTTTATTTTTTAGTTTTCAGTGGACACAACATCTTTGTCTGTTATGTGGTGCTGAGGATCAAACCTGGGCCACACGCATGCCAAGCGAGCACGCTACCACTTGAGCCACATCCCCAGCCCATCTCTTTTTTAAAAAAAAATTCTGGCAGTCGATTCAGCAGAAGTCATTATTTGCCCCATTTCTCAAGAAGTAGAAAAACACAAACAGACACACACTTTGAACAGGATATAATTTCTTGATATTTGTATGCTCTCAAGAAGACACAAAAACACAAAATCTGGGCCTCTTTTTTTATTTTTTAATTTTTTTTTTTTTTGCCTCCTTCCTATGCCTCATTCTAAGATTACTTCCAGGATAATTTTATATCTCTCTGGGTTTCAAATTATGCTGTTGAGCATCTATTTCATAATTAATTTTGTTAATTCCTTCATCTGTTCTGCTATAAATAGTTCTTTTGTAATTTTTCAAAACTCACAGTCAGATCTATGCTTTGATCAAATCTGATTGATCAAACTTTTGTTCCCCACTGGTCATAGGCCCAGTTTCCCCATCTGTCTTTTTTGAATTTTGCTTCAAAATTCTCATTGTGATATTGATTGGATAGAGTGATTTCATGTTAACTTTGTGGGTTAACTTTGTGGGTGGTTATTGCACTTGATAAATGAACATATCAAATTACATTTAAAAAAGACAGTGGATCAGCTTATATAACAAAAATGAAGCAGAAATATTTGGGCACAGCTGGTCCTCCTTCTCTCTATTTCCTATTTCTCTTAAATAGGTTGCCTCCATTCCTTCTCTTCCTTTCTTTCCATGAATCTAGATCTGTGATTCAACTGGTGTCATTTTGATCCCCAAAGGATATTTAGCAAGGGCGAGAAGTATCTTGGGTTGTCATACTGGGAGAAATAGGGTACTATTGGTATCTAGTAGATCAAAGCCAGAGATGCTATTAAATGTCCCATGATGCACATGGCAGCCCCTGATAATAAAGAATTATCTGACTGAAATGTTAATACTGCTAAGGATGAAAAATATTGGGTTAATGTGCACTAGTAGCTCCTGGCTCACAAGTGCCAGCTTTAAGTGAAATAAACCAGTCCCACAAAACCTAAGGCCAAATGTTCTCTCTGATATGCAGATGCTGACTCAAAATAGTGGTTGGGGGCAGTGTTCACTATATTAGACCAGGGGTGTGGGGGATGAGAAAGACAGTAGAATAGTAGAATGAATCAGACATAATTTTCCTATGTTCACGTATACATAAGCAACCAGTGTAACTCCACATCATGTACAGTCACAAAAATGGGAAGTTATACTCCCATGTATATATGATATGTCAAAATACATTTTACTATTATGTATAACAAAAAAGAACAAAAATTTTAAAAGATGTTCATAAATAAAGGGGGGGTGGTCCTTCCTTGCTACAGAAAGGGAAAGAACTTGTCTCTTTCAGATTCAATTCAGTTGAAAATCTAGGAAAAACTGGCTTTATATACAATCAAGCCCCCATTCATCCTTACCCCTCATTTCTGTTCCAAGTCAATCTTTGTGGATAAGAGTTACAGTTAGTTCTTCCACAGATTATAGCAGGCCGGGAGGTTATGGCCAAAGAAAGATGGCAGCCTTAATTCAGATCACCTGTTAGATATTACTGTTCAAACAGAAAGGACTGCTTTACCCAAAATAAAGAAGAGTGTCAGGCAAGAGAAAGTAATACCTTACATGTTCACAACTATAATTTTAAATGAATATGCATTTTATCCATTGAGTATTTTATTAGCACTATACATTTATATAATTAATACTATTCTTATGCCTAAAATTCTTCAATAAGCAAGGACTAATGTAAAAATAACTCTTCAAAGAACATGTATTAGAGATTATAAGTGTAAATAATCAGTTAGTCCAGCACATATAATTGCATAGAAAATCAATCATAATTTTGTTGGCTAAGAAATATCACAGAACTGTGAAATTAGTTGTTAGTGCACTCATCTGTATTAAAAATACCTTTAGGTTTGATTGAATATGTAGTGCAATATATAAAATGTATTCCTGTGCTGAAATACTGAATTGAGATTCCATCCAAACACTCTGATATGTGGAATGCATTGAATAACAAAGATGTGATCCTTTTATTTATTTATATTTGAGAGAAAGGAAAAATAAATTTTATTGCTTTGCTAGCAAAGGAGAAAGACAGGGGACTCCTGTCCCAAAGGCTGTGATTCTACTTATCAGCAGTGATCCTTTCTTTTACAAATATGTTCAACTACAGATTATCTTATCATAAATGAAGTAATGAGGGACTGACACACCAAATATTACTAAAGATCAAGTTCATTGCACTAATGCAGGAAGATTTGAAAGTTAAGAATAATGAAATTCATCTATTATGTGGACATTCCTTTTCTAGGTCTCTTAAGCCAGGTTAGTTCCTGAAAATGGCATTTGAATGTCTTCAATTTAAGTACTACGCACCTGCAATTGATCTTGTAATTAATCAGTCCGTTGCTGGACTCCTCTACCATCTTAGGTTTTGACCCCCTCTAGCAGCACACCTCTTAATTCTGGCAATCAGATAGAGTTATATTATTATTGTTGTTTTATAAGCAGCTAATTTTTCATAATATCTCAGACAAAATTTTCACAAATATTAGTGTATAAAAACCTCTCACAGCTAAAGCAGTAACATTGTATCTATTCATTTCTTTTTGTACAGGTATTTTGCAATGGACTTAGCATTTTATTTTATTTTCTTCCATTTTTAAATAGGACTAAACATTTCTTTCTCTTCTCAAAATAAAAGGGGCATCATAGAATTCTTACAACTATAAAGACAAGGGTCACACTGGTACAACTTCCAAATTTTCTGTCCACGTTACTCTTGTTCAGCAGGTGCTTGAGGCTAAAGTTCTTGAAGATTAGCTCTGCTCTGT